AGCACAGATACCTGAAAAGGAACATTTTCCTTTAACAACAAACACATCCCAAAGGGAATGCTGTAATTCAGGGAAACCCAGACTAGGCAGAAAAGCTGCACGTAGGACACTCTGAACCCACTGGAGCACGAGGGAACCTCAGCACTTTGCACCCCGTGCAGAACTCATCCATCAGGATCTTTATGGTGCCTGAACAGAGCAAGAACAAGCCACTGGTACCAGTAGCTGATCTACACCCACAAAGGAGAATTTGCCAAGTGTACTGTCAGCAGCAGCACGATTTGCCTTTTATTTTCCAGCTGCAACTGAAGTCTTGAGCATGAGAGAAGCTTCAAAATCTTGGGGTAGATACCACCTTCCTATTTTTGATCCTCGTAATGGGCACATCAATTATCCTTCTGCTCCTCTTCAGATGAAGGAACTGGAAATAGGGCCAGACCCCAAACAGAAACACCACAGGGAGCCCAAAAACTCTGCACAAGAATTATTCTTGCAACTTCCAACCAGGGCATGCAGGAGCAACTGGGAAAGGTGCAGAACAAACTGCAAATGAGGAGGCTGTAGGTATTCCCTGCCCCAGCTCAGTGTTTCATCACTTGGGAGTTGGATTTAACGATTCTTATGGGTCCTCTCCAACTTGAGGTGCTCTGTGATCACACAATGGCACCTTGTGCACACCAGGGGCATTTTGCCTCTCCAAAAAAAACACTGCAGGAAGCACACATTCATCTTACACTGACAGCATCTCTAGGCATGTGGGCTTGGATGCAGCTTCAAAGACAGTCACCTGGAAGTGGGCACCGTCCTTTTAAAAGGATTCTTCTCCTCTGCCTTCTTTGCAGCCACCTCCTGTCCTCATACACAGTCTCCAACACGTGCACAGACACGAATTTATAAAATACCTTTTAACTGCAATCCTTCAGGGTCATCCAAGGGCCTCCATCCTCTTCCTGCGTGGCAGAGCATCAGGAACAGGCAGCGAAGCTGGAACTCACATGTTTGGATCCACCTGCCATGAATTTATTAGAGCAGAAAAGGGTGTGGGATGGAGATGAGGAAAGCACAGGTGTGTTCTCAACACCAACTGACTCATGCAAAAGGCAACAGGGATCCCACAAGGCCCTGTAGGTACTTCTGGAACAGCTAATGGTCAGCACAGATGTAGAGTACAGGCTGAAAACCAGGTTTGAGGTATCAAACATGTCAAGAAGATTAGAAGACAGAAGAAGTGTGAAATGGTCTGCAGATCTGATAAAAGAATTCTCTGTGTGTCAGACCCCAAACAATACCTTGCTAATGCATCTGGAATGATGGGAGACATCCAACACTATGTAAAGGATATGTCCTAACAGAGGTTCGGGATTTTTCAAGTCAAGGATAGAAGGTGTGACCTGGGCTGTCTCCTGCAAATAATTCCTCTCATCAATAGCCTTTACTAATAGTCTTATTAAAGCTTATTGTACAGGGAAAAACAAATTTGTTCCCAGTGAGAAAGCAGAACACTGTGTTCAGGGCTGAAGCTCAAAATTAAGATGTGAGGCATTACGGGGTGCTGCAACAGGAGGGGAGAGAGCCCAGAAAGAGCGAATTCAAACGAGCTGGGAGGCAGAAGCACCTCCTGTGGCTGCTTACATTTGTTGCCTCTCCCTTTTAAACATTAGCATGATATGACACTGTGCTAAAAACTGCTGTATTTTCACACACTGGGACTAACAAGGCACATCCAGAACGCCTCTCAGAAAGCAAGACTTTTCATCAGCAATCACCTCTATGTGCCTCTGACAGCCTGCTTCCAAAAGATCTCTTTCTGGCTAGCTGTTATTCTTTTGCTGCACGAGGGCGTCCCAGGTCAAATCCTTTTCATATATATACCTTAAGGTCACATTGCATCGAAATCACTTTCACTGGCTTGCCAGGCTTTAATCTCAAAAACATCAACATCCCTCCTGGATTAAGCACAGCCTAATTGAATCAGCTCTGCAGCAGGAGCAGTGGTGGAAAGTTCTTTGGAAAGGCTCCACTGGAGACAGGGTCTTAGCTTTTAATGCCTCAGAGCCCTGCAGAGTTCCTCGTTGAGATACTTTCCCTCCATCTGGTGAAAACCCTTTTGTAAACACATAAAACCGTACTTAAAACACAATCCCGCTCCCGTTACGTAATTTTCCCTCGGCCCAGTTGCGTGTCTTTAATCCAGGCAGCTGATCTGGTTTGGTTGTTAAGCCAATAAGGGCTGCAATGATTACACATCTCACGGTCACAGGACTGCAGAGACCCCCATCTCGCCTCCTTCCTCGACGCCAGGCCTCGTGTGCTGCCATTCCGACAAATAGTTGGGGTCCGCTCCTAAAAAACCCCGCAAGGAGCAGCCCCACGTCCTGCCAGGTCAGTTCCTAACACAGGGCTTGACTCCTTCAAAGGGATCACTGAAGGTTTTTTTTTCCCCTGTAGCCCAGATCTGCCTCGCTGTTATCTCACCTTCTGACTTCTCGCCCTACCCCTGCAGACATCAGAGGACAGATCGTTCCTTTCCTCAGAGCTGCAGCCTTTCATCTATTTGGAGACTATGCACATCCTCCCCCAGTCCTCTCTCCTCTCAACAGGCTCAGCAGAAGTCATGTGTTCCAAGACTCTGATCATTATTGACACCTTTTTCTCCAAATTATCCCTGCTTGCACAGCCCAGGACTGGCCTTACCCTTCCAACTCAGCTCAGCAGAGCAGGACTCCTGTGTTTAGTACTTGTATTTTCTTACCCACATGGACCTGCACGGTGTTTGCCTCCTCTGCAACAAGTGATTTTGGATTCCTGCTCGGCTTTTGACCCAGGGCCCCTCCATCCTTTCCTGCAGCACAGCCAGCTGCCCTGTTCCCAGTCTGCCTCTGAAGCTGGGGGTGTTGAAATGCACCTGCTGCTGAACCACATCCCATTTTTTCCCACAGAGCTCCTATTTTGAATACCAGCTCTACCACTGCGTTTATTCCGAACCTGATCTCATCTTCAAATGCAGTAATTGCATTATTTCATCACGGATGACTAATGTACAGGTACAAGCACTGATATCAAGTAGTTTTTCCCTCAACCTGTTTTGCAGCTCCTTCAGAGTGGTATCATCTAGAATTGTTTCCCAGTTTATTATTAGAGTATCTTGCAAGCCAGTGTCAGAAGCTCTACTAAAAATCAAGATATATGACACGCAGTGCTTCGCCCTTATCTGCAATCCTTGTTACGCTGCCAGAAAAGAGGAAATTAGATTGGCTCAATTCATTCACAACAAAGCCATACTGGCCAGCATTCACCTTCTTTTTTGCCTTCGAGATGCTTATAAATTGTTTATTTTCTCTCAGACTCAAAATTAAACCCACTACGCTATTGCTTCTCAGTATACCTGGGAGTCACTTATCTCTCCCCATTCCCCCAGACTTTTTTGTCTGTTGTTGCTGTATTTGAGCTCACAAAATCTCACGGGTGACGGAGTTTGAAGGAGCCAAAAAAACGAGACCCCAAAGAGGAGGCAGTTCCTCAAGGGGGTTAAGAGCAGGGAAATGTGTTGTTAATGAAATTCTTTTGATATTCCAGCCCTGAACCACATGGAATGGTTTGTGTTGGAAGGGACCTTAGAGATCATCCAGTACCAAGCCCCTGCCATGGGCAGGGA